GACATTTTCTCGAGAGGGGTGCTTGTTAAGACTCTTAGTGAAGTTCCATAGTCGTAGGAGGAGTAGTAACCTGAAACTTGAATATTCGATAGATCCGGGAGTTGAGATGATTTATTTGTGGATACGAAAGATGAATGGTTTTTAGATTTGTTGCCGTTTTACCTGGCGATATGTACGGAGGATCTCGTAGATCGTATCTCGTACCGAGTAGGGGGGCTGTTTGTGTGTGTACACGGCAGGATACAATTCTCCGAGATCTCCGAGGGGGTTACGCAGATGAGATAGATATGGGTATGATAGACAGACTTGGTGCAGCAGGCTTTGCCTCTTCTTGCTCACGTCTGTCACTCGTTAAACTCTCTAATAAGCAAGGAACTTGAGTCACTCCTTTGTGCAACACGCTCTCGACAAGAGCCCGCGAGCGTGATAACATAGTACACGCGCCGACACCCCAAACACTACAACGCACCTTGTGGAACTTCATTTGTTTGAAGCGTCAATGCTCTTGTTGTGCTCCCTCCAGTAGCGCCGTTTGATCCATTCATTATATCCTTTCCAAGTCTCGTTTCGAACCCTGGCGTCGTCCGAGTATATGCCATAGTTGTCCGTGGGGTCCACCGCCTTGACCTTCGTCAAGTACCTACAAGAAGTGACAATTGCAGTGGCGCGGGAGAGGGAGAGAGGGATGAGTATCAAGCGTCCACCGGCAGCCCCCGCTGTGCAATACCGGAACGGTCTCTTCTATTGAGAAGACAAAAACAACCCTAACGACCACAACCACAACAACAACAACGACATCCGCGTATTAATTTTATTGTTCAGACACACACGGACCGGAGTCTTTGCACGGCGAGTGCGTTTTTAATTAGGCCCAGAATATATTTTAACCTTTACGCACAGGAACTGGCAACTTCGCAAGGATCGGCACCTTGGCACCTCTGTGCCATCCAAATATTATGACGCTTTTCTTACAGTTAGCTTTCTGCCTCCTCGTAAGTGAGTTAAAATCTTGGTGTAGTCACGCGAACCGGGGAAGTTCCTAACTGAACGCTCGAACACGTCGTCACCCATGCCCTGCAAAATTCTAACCTGCATCATGCGTTGAACAGCATCATTCGACGCTTGACTGGCTGTACCCTAGGCGACTTGATTGCCCATTGTAGATGAGTCCGGGGCCGTCGTGCCGTAGGTAGGGTTAAGGTCCGAGGGTTTGGCCAGGCCCACTCGAGAGGGATACGTCCGTGTATGGCGATTTTAGTCACCGTCGTCACGACACCGGTGAGGAAGCAAGGTGCTGTTTCATGCCAGACTGCAAGCGAAGGCTTCGCAACCAAACCCGGAGTGATCAGCGTCGGGCAAAAGTCCCACCGCATCAGGATCGGCAATGGCTTCCCCTTCTTGGCAGTACCAAACACTACGTCCATCATGAACGTTGTGTCGCAACCTCTCAGCCCAGCTTGCACCACCGCAACATGTACATGGGTTTTCATACCCAATCCCCCCAAAAATACGTGCTGCCAAAGAAGTGCTTCCCGCATAGCTGTATTGCGCTCGGGAGGCGAGGATCCCGGCCAGTCAGCATACC